GAAAGAGTCATTCAAAAAGCTTGAAACTAAACAGTTATTGGTGAAAATAGTTGCTCTATCCAAATATGTAAACAAAAATGCAGTGTGAGCGTATTTTGAGCAAAAATATTAAGAAAAAGAGGAAAAATAGTCAAAAATCGGCCACAATCCTTCACTGTGTCGCCTCTGCATTCCAAACGAATTCTTGAACCAATGTGAAACTTACATGCTAGACTTTGTATGCTAGATTTTTGACTATTTTTCCTCTTTTTCTTAATATTTTTGCTCAAAATACGCTCACACTGCATTTTTGTTTACATATTTGGATAGAGCAACTATTTTCACCGATAACTGTTTAGTTTCAAGTTTTTGAATGACTCTTGCTTAGTTAAAACCTGCAAACTATCAATTGGACTGACCTTGACCAACCTTCAGTTTTTGGCATTCGACTTCACGAAATGTTTACTTTTTCTAACTTTAGACCCATATTCGTGATCAGCACAGAATTCTGAGTCAGAAAAGGTGTGTTTCGAAAATTTTAGAGGAAAAACTTTTTTCGATACCTTTGCCCTTAAATTTTTCGATAAAAATCCAAATGCGATTTTTGGAAAAGTGAGACGGCTAAAATACTCATAATTTTACGCTGATTCCGAATATGTAAGTTTCATTGAGTTTTATTGGGGTGCTCGACACTCGCTTATCCTCCTCCGTCCTTTATCCTCAAAACTTACCATAGTCAATTGTGTGAGCGTTTAATATCGGACGAATATGTAGAGATGTGGGAATAGCAATTTCTAAAACAAAAACGAACAGTTATTAACACAAAATACGCTCAGTTGCGAGAAATATCATCATACTTTCTGTTTGTAAAAAGTTCACTAAACGCCCTAGTGCAAGTTTCAATTCACGTATTGATTTCATCGACATTTTCAAAGCAGTTTCTAAAGAAAAAAAATATTTCTGTAATGCAGACAATTTGACGACCAAAACTTACCAGTTTGATATGGGTCACTAGATGAAGAAAGTTGTGAGTGATTTTTAACTCTCGAAAAAAATAATCAAAATTCATTTTTTTAAAAGATATTTAATTATTTTTGCCTAGACAAGCATACTTTGTGTTATTATATACGCTTCGTTGTAGTTTGCAATCAAGTTTTGATTTTTCTTTTTTACAACGTTCTAGCTCTTTTGTTAATTGTTCATTTGTTTCTTTCAATGAATGATATTGGTCCTAAAAGTAAAATATAAGCACACATTTAATCAAAGACAAATCATAAACGATTATAGTATAGTTGATGAAAACTGCATTGATCGAATAGAAAACAGTGCAATTAACTCTACTATACTTAAACTGATACTTAGACGCAGTAAGATAGTACAAGTATATCAAGGTTCACTCCATTTTGAAATATCAAAAATATAAAGCAAAAAAATCCAGCAAACGTCTTACCACAACCATTAGTTCATGATAGTACGCCGTATTTTGATCTTTTATTATTCCAAAATCTTTTTCCAAGTCGTTTTTCTCTTCATTCAGTAAATCATAACCCTACATATAAAAAATATGTTAGTTCATCATTTATCAGACTAAATACATCTGCACACCCTTTTTAATGCATCACATTCATCTGTACACTGAGCAATTTGTTTTCCAAATAAGCAACACTCACTAGAATACAACATAAACATGTTTTTAAAATTAGCTAAGATCAATTTAACGAAAAAGAATAGACAATACTTTGTAACATAATCAAGTCGTTGTTTCAATTGATCATTTTCATTTTGTAAGGACTGTAATGCTTTTTTTGCTTCTAAATAACGATTGACTATTAGACTATAAAACAAAACAAAGCAAAAATAATCAATTGATTAGAAAAACAAAAGAAAATAATGTAAACTTACTCTGTAGCCACAATCTTTTTGTGCAGTAAGAGAAAATCTTGTTTTGTAATGTAAGTTTGTTGATTGTTCTAAAATAAATAAATAAATACATCTATGCATAATTAGTAATGGAAAAAGATGGTATAAATAACAACAAGAATTAAACGTTTTCATTATTATTATCATAATATGACAATATTTAAATGCTGAAAACGTTTCCCCATATAATTTTGACTGTTTTCTTTTTTTTATATTACACTACTTTACGGTTACCTTCATCATACGAATTAACAATGATAGGAGAATTAATACTGTTGCTGGTGCTGATTAAACGATGGACGATTTGATTGTTGAACTAAAAATAATTGCTTAACAGATATCAACTTTAAATTATTCAATATGATAATATAAATGATTTTGAATACCCACTTGTTGTGTTTGCTTCACCAACAGTTTTCATCAATAATTATTCTTTCCCGTCTTTATTTAGTTACTAGTACATCGTTTTAAATACTCAATACACGTTTTTCGCTGGATAATAATTATTTTCGTTAACGTCCAGATATCCCTCTTACTGGTACTCCAATCTAATATCACGTTATAAAATCGGGAAAAAGATATTTTCTCTATAGCATCCTTACTTAGATATGTGTGCTGCGCCGCTGATGGATAATTAAGATTTTTGGCGCCGCCTAAGCCTCGAAAGTTTTGGGAGCACCTCGCCACCGTCGATGGTAAAAATACAAACTTGTTTTAGCCTCCACCGATAGAAAAAATTTTGAAAAAAAAGTCATGAGAAATTCGAAAAATAGAAAGTTGTATTGCAATTAGTGACATGAAGAGGGAACAACGTCTAACTGTCATATACGGGCGCACATCGTACCATCATATACATTATTTCTATACGGCCAGTTTATAAGCGTTTTGATAGTCAGAGATAGGTCTCTCTTCAGCGTGTGAATATGACTCATTGCTAAATGTAAAAAGTCACCGGTACAATACACCTCTGTCACCTGTAACTACATAGGCATTAGGTTCCTAATTTTTGTTAAAATTTACTGCCTTCGTAAACTTTTATTTTAAATTCACAATTATCTAGAGGTTTCGATTGCAATGATGAAATGTCGATTCGAAGACAAAGTAAATTTTAAAAAAAGTTAGCACCCTAGTTTATCCAACTTCGTACTTTAATAAAGGATTCTATTTTAATCTTAAAATACAATACAATACTATCTCAAACATCAGATCAATTTTCAATACTCTGAGAGTAACAATGAAACATATCGTACAAAAAAGCTCAAATAACCCATTTGCAGAAAGAATTATGTCGTCAACAAAGATAGACGAGATTTATGAGATGATATAAAGCAAAAAAGCTATCGAAACAGTTTTAAAATAAAAAGAGATAGTAATAGATAACATGATTATACTATGATCCGCCGAGTTTTACTAGAAATTCTTGTGATGATAATAGCAGTTGTTTTACACTTATCACAACAATTTTAAAATTTGTACCCATCAATAATAAATTCAATCTTTCATCAGGAATATTTCTAGCTTCACAATTTTAAATAAAAAGCTTTTACTAAAACCATTGATTCTTACCAAAGGGTTAAATTGTAATTCGTCAAGCCATGTAAAATGTTCGTCCATATTGAAAACGTGTACGATGGTGATCCGAAAACAACAAGTCTTGAAAAGATTTTTTCTTTAATCCTGCACGGGTTCAACGCTATTAAGCAGTGAAAACAAAAATTTACAGATGAATATGACGTTCATTTGATAATAAAACAAACATTGGAGAAGATGAAGGCAAAGTAACTAGTATTAAAACCTAATTTTTTCGTCAAATTTTCCTCAAATACGATACAAAATCATCTTATACTTGCCACCTCAAGTAACTAGTATAAGTAATTAAATACATTTATAAAGTTTTTCGACAGCATAAAAGATGTTGTCTGTAAAAAAATGAAAAGCATGTTTTTTCTACCTGCACCCATACCGTTTAGACAGAAGAAAAGTGAAGAGAATATATGACTTACTTCGATCGTAAACGATTAGTAGCAATTGAAAAGTTTAAATCGCAAGATGACAGAGTCAAGTATTTCAAGTAGTGATTCAAGTAATAATTAATTCATGATTGGCACGTTCCTTTGATCAATAAGAAAAATTAAAGTTAAAAGTAATAATAATAATTACTTTTTTAAGCGTAAGCCTTCATACTTATAATAGAAAGAATACGTTGACTAATATCGATTCTAACGACCCTCACAACTTTGCTACACAAGTTTTCTAAGTTTTGGAGACATAGACCGACGTTTTATTGGTCTATTCTATCAACAAATTATTATCGATAATTATATAGAACGGAAAGAAAAATAATATATTACTCTCAAAAAAGAATACACTTTAAATAATATAAAGAATATTCCAATGCAAGTTTCGCATACTTGAAGTATTAATATGTTCTTTATATATGTCACAGTGGAAATTAAAATTCAGTGGAATTTAAAATTCTACCAGGAGAAATAATTTCCACTAGTGGAGTTTCAAATTTCAATTTTCACTGGATTCTTGTCAGTGAAAACTGAAATTTTAAGTTCAACTAGTGGAGAATAAAATTTTAATCTCCACTATAGTAAGATTTTAAATTCCACTAGGCAGAAATGACTAACACTCATATTTCAATCTCTACTCTAGTGGAAATCAGAATGGTAAAAGAAAGGAAATGAAAGAAATACTTATAGATTTAGGCTAGTAGTATAGAAGTTCACACAGTTAGTTATAAGTCATAATGGAGACATTTTCTGAAAAAACTCAATGCGCACATGCTCAAATGAAAAATTTCGTTATCTAGTGGAATTTAAAATCTCACTGTAGTGGAGATTATTTCCCCTCGTGGAATTTTAAATTCTACTGTAACATAAATTTAAAATGTATTATTTTCTGACAGTGATCTGAATCTGCACTATCTCAAAAAAAACACAGATCAAGTGTTAAATTCTACGGATGAAGTGTAGGACGATCACACATGAGGATTTTGGTCACACATGTAGCATGATAATGCTACACGTCATCTGTACAATTTTACACTTTAAGTGTGGTAGAATACAAAGAATGATTTCTTTATACTTGAAACATGGAAACATTATGCATGAAGTGCGACATCCGATGCTTGAAGTATATGAAACAGTTTTTACTTTTTTTTGTGATATACCTGAATAGCAATGTAACTTCTACACTTGATGTGTATGCTTTTATTGTGACTACGCTTCAATCGTTAGACGATAGACGACGCCATCTTGTTTCTTGTGTTGTATGTTGAAGGTCTGTCTCCTAATCAACTGTTTTTTTTGCAGTCTGACTTGCAGCAACTGTTTCAGTTATTTAGACAAATATTAAAGGGTTGAACAAATTCATAAATTATAACAAAATATCGATCTATTTCATATTTCACTACTGAATGCGCATTGCCGCTAGTGAACATCTCCACAAATCCAAAGATCTGTTTAAACTGACAAAACTTAAGAAAAACAATTCATTTGTAACATCTATCTTTTTTCTACTATAGATGAAATCGCCTTCGTTGAACATAAAGAAAGCCGTTCCTCTTCTGTTCTCCATGTTCCAGTATTTTTTCCTCTATTTCTTTCAAATCGTTTCTGCTCAAGAACAAAGTGATACACCTAATGTCGCTTCATATGAAATTAGAGAACACAGTTTAGTCAAACCCTATCCCGCGGTATTTTCTACGGGTAGTTCTTATTGGCATTTGACCGGTAATACAATTGTGACGGATCGTTGGATTCGACTTACGGCCGATACGCAAAGTAAACAAGGTGGACTTTGGAATCTTCTTGTATGTATGATAACTATTACTTTCAAGATTCTACCAATATTTATTATTTCAGCCGGTGACGTATCCCGATTGGGAAATGCATGTTCATTTTAAAGTTCATGGTACGGGTAAAGAATTGTTTGGTGATGGATTAGTTATTTGGTACGTGCGAGACCCAAAGCATTTAGGTTAGTAATGTCTTTTTTGTGAAATACATATGCTGATATTCTTTTCTTTTCATTCAGGACCTGTTTTTGGTTATCAGGATTATTTTCATGGATTAGGTATTGTTTTGGATACTTACAGCAATCACAATGGTCCACATAATGTAAGAAGGAAGAGGCTGCGACTATTACACTTACAATTTAGCTTTATATGCTTTTATCACAGATAGCGAAAGTTAATTTTTCATCTAAATGGTGAACGAATGGCCCCCCTTGTGTTTTTCTGAAGCTGATGTGCACCCAAGATGCGACTTTTTAGTTAGTGGAGATTAGCCTACTCAGAGTACCTTTCCTTAGTAGAAAAAGCAGTGAACTCACTTAAATGATATGGATATGTCTATATAAATTAAAATCTTTTAGAAAAATTAATATATATTCTAAGCTTCTGTTTTATTTAGCATGCTCATCCATATATATCAGCTATGGTTAATAATGGCACACTGCATTATGATCATGATCGTGACGGTACACACACACAAATAGCCGGTTGTGAATCAGCATTCAGAGGCAGAGATACAGACACACTCATTGCTATTCGATATAAAGATGATAAATTAACAGTATGGTTTATTTTGATCTGAATGATAATGATGTACTGAATCGTATATTTTTTTAATCTTCTTAGGTATCTACCGATGTTGACGGCAGAAATGTATGGCGAGAATGTTTTTCTGCTGAAGGTGTCAGATTACCAACTCATTATTATTTCGGTTTTTCGGCAGCAACCGGTGAATTAACAGGTAGAAAAAAATGATGTTTTTCTTTTTCTTCCGTAAGTATATGATACATATACAACTATATATATATTTATTTGTTCAGATAGTCATGATATTATATCGGTACATACTTATCAACTTGATTCATCCAATGAGAGAAAGGTGAGTTTGTTTGTACAATTTTCTTCTCAGTATTAACTTTTCTTCATTTTAGTTGGAAGATCGGCAAGCAATAGTGCCTTTTGGTTTGACATCTGAAGCTGAACGACGTAAGTTTTGCGTAGCTGAACAACAAAATGATAGTTTTTTATATTTTTTACTTTCCAGTTCATGTTGACGATCCAAAATCTGTTAGTTGGACAGCATTAAAAATTTTCTTTTATGTTCTATTATTTCTTATTATATCAGTCGGTTTAGCCATTGGTGGTTATTTTTATATGAACAGTCGAAGGTATCATAAAAGTCGTTTCTATTAATGGAAAAATAAAGTCACGAATACTTTGTAAAATCTCAATTATAAAATCTCAAACAATTACTGCGTTAATAACAAGGAGACATACCACCATGTCTTTTTCCTTCCATTTCTATCCTACGTTAGCCTGTTATTCTTTTTATTTTTTATATTTTGGGTAAAGATTTTTTTCATTTTACTTTTTTTAGGAAATTAGATTTCAAGTACGTTGAGCTAGGTTTTAAATTCCTCATCAGATGGATCTGAAAAAAATGATAAATGTCTACAGTGAATCTATTGTGCTTTTCAAGTAATAGCATTCATTACTCATAGTTCGGATTGAAAACAAAAAGTAATCCCTTCCTAGTCATCCTTCTTTTTTTTATATCAAACTTTAAAAGAAAAGTGCCTTTGGTTTCGAATTTTCTCATTTTTCTTCTTATTTCATTCTGTTTACCCAAGTGCCTTATGAAATTTCCAGTAAGTCAAAAACTTGATCATGAACAGGTGAATTTGAAATTAATTATTAAAGAACAAGTGTCGCGTGAAACTATGTGAATTTTGTTAATTTCTTTTTCTGTATTTATCTTCCATCACTTACTAACTACTTGTTGAATGATTTATGGTTATTTTATAGTCGTTACATTCTTCTTATCGATAAGCATGTGATTGAATATTGTTATGCATTTATTGTTTTTTTTGTTTGTTTTTTTGTTATCTCATTGTTTAATTTTTCTTTTTATTATACATTAAAGCAATGTTTTTGTTGTTGTTTTTTAAAATTAATGAACAAGTACGAAAAAAGTTAAAAATAAATGACGGATAAAAAAACAGACTTTTTTTTTCCATTTGACTAATCTACATGGAAATTTTGAATAGGAAAAATTAAAGAAAGAAACATGAACTGTGAAAGAACAGTGTTTTGTTCAAATTTATATGTTATAAAAAATGAGCTAGTTCCGAGTACAGTCAGTTAAAAACAAATTCGTTGTGCTAATGTTGAGGCCATTGCATAATAGTAGGACGTAATTATTTTTGAATACAACTTATGGTGGTGAAATATTAGTTGCATACGAGATGTACTCTCCCACAGGATATTCATTGTCATCGATAGTGAATTGTGTTACAAGAAGATCATCATCATTTATGCTATTCCTGGTGGGTAAATGATTTCCAACATAGATTTTTATTAAACATGGTACAATTACAAATCCTTTGTTATCAATATAAACAGCCATATGTTCTTTTGTTATTATTGCCGACATGAATACCTGAACTTTGACTGGCACATCAGTAATTCGTTCAAAACTAACTAATTGAAATCTGGAGGTATTTAAAGTTGTATTCTGTGGAAATATACTTATATACACTTGAACAATTTCATCAGATAGATATGGTCCATTATTCATCAAACGGAAGTAGATCTCGACACTACTGCCTGCTTTTACTTTAGTTGAATCAGTTAAATTTGTTGTTAAATCGTAAAAGGAAAATGTTGAGTAAGATAAACCATGACCGAAGCTATATAACGGTTGTATACTATTTCTATAATATCGATAGGTGAATCCATACATATCATAATTTGTTATACTGGATAGATCTTCGATTTTAGCCGGCCATGTATATGGTAAACGACCAAATTTTGATGAAACTTTATTGCCATTACTAAAAAGTGCTGTTTTTAATGCGAGACCAGTTTCTTGAGCAGGAAAACCTAATTGTATTATACTTGGAATATTTTTAGAATATTGAGCTAATTGAATTTGTAACGGTGCTGCAGAAAATAATAGTAATATTATTGTCGTATCACAGCTACTTGTATATGTGATTGTATCACTTAATAATTGTTGTTGATAATTGGGTAAATTCATCGTCAGCCGATCATTACCTTCACTTTCAATTATTTGACCTGTTCCCAATGATAAAAATATTAAATCATATCGACCTTTACTCAATAGATTGATTGTTCTACTTTGATTGTAATTCAAACATATATTGCCATCCGTACATGCGTCCTCCCAACTAACACTGCGAAATAAATCTTGTAAGCCGCTCAATGGTGTTGTTGTATAGTATATATCGGGAACTGGCGAATAATCGCCAAATTGTTGTATCGGATTATTACTCATTGGACCAAGAAAAAGAACTCGTTTAAATTTCTTCACATCAGTAATTGGAAGAACATTTCGATCGTTTTTTAATAATACAAATGATTGTATTGCTGCTGTTAACGCTAGTTTTCGATGTTCATCACTTTGTATGATATTCATTGATATTTGATTATACGAATTCATTTCCATTGGATCAAACTCACCTAAACGCATTCTTGTATAAATTAATGGTTGAATTCGATCCGTTAACGTTTTATTTTCAATTTTTCCTGATTTATACGAGTCATGCAATGTTAAAAATATTGTATCGTCACGTGAACAAGCCAACTCTAGATTGACACCGTTATTCAAAGCTAAGAGAGCAGCATCAGCTATTGTTTGAGTATAATTATGTTCATCGAAAATATTGATAAGTGCATTATCGTCTGACACCACATAACCAACAAAATTCATTTTATCCCGTAAGATATTTGTCAATAATTTTTCATTGGCACACGCAGGGATTCCATTTATTGAGTTGTAGGAACACATCACACTATACACACCAGCATCAATACAGGCTTTAAACTGTGGGAGAAATGTAGATCGCCAATCATATTCGCTAACAATAGAGTTGAATGAAAATCGAGATGTTGGATAATTTTCTGGTCCATTATGAACGTCAAAATGTTTACATCCGCCATTTGTATTCAGATAACGTTGATTATTTCCTTGTAAACCACGAACATAGTATGATGCGTAGACACCGGACATATATGGATCTTCTCTATATAGATAGATAAGGATGATACACAGATGAATGAAGACTATCGCTTTACTTACCCATATGTTTCCTGATTTCTACCCCATAAAGGATGTCTCATGATATTAATAACCGGTGAAAAACAAGACAAACCTCGATGAACACCGTACTTTCCTTGTTTTTGATAAGCGTTATAATGTGCATGAACCTCGTAAGCTGTTGCATTTGCTATTGCGTACAATAAATTTTTATTCCATGTTGCTGCAAGATTAATAGCTTGTAAAAATCCTGTAGAAGTTTCACTGACATCCCCTCGAAGACATTCTGTTGTCCACGAGTACGGTTTAATATCCAACCGTATAATGGCTGGTGTGACTCCTTCATTCCAACCTCCACCATAGGCTAATTGATCGATGATTTCATCGGGCGTTAGACGAGAAATAAGATCATCAACCCTCACTCGCCAGTCTAATGATACATTACGGAAAGGATAGACATCCGCTTGCGAATATTCTAGTACGTAATTTAAGACTAATAGTATTATTTGAAAGTATTGCGACATTTACTGAATGTTTAATTTTTTTATGTGTTTTTTTTGAATGTTCTTTTTATAATTCATTGTCTTCTGCAATATAATACAAAATAAGAAAAAAAAAGTGTAGCTCGTTCTATAGTTTATTCATGTAATTGCGGCGTTTTTAAGAGAGGTACGATCAAAATGACGTTTTCTTCGTTCTTTATTTTTAAATAGAACGGATTTCTATGACTATAGATAGGTATACATCCTTTAACTAAAATTTTTCGTTTGAGAACGGAAAAAATTTTGATCGTACATCTTTTGAGAATCCTTATATAGACTAGCACGTGGTTTTATGCACTATACTATTAGAGAGAAAGAAAAATGAAAAGGGATCATACTGTCAAAAATGCCTTCAAGCGTGCTATGTATGCATATACTCGAAGTGTGCTAAGTACACATTGTAAGTATGTTACCGTTCAAACTCTAATTTTGAAGTGTGTAGCATCAGACGACTCAGACACTTTTTTCCCGTCCATGTCCATCATTCTGTCTAATAGTATTGGAATTTTCGCGTTTTTAGATAAGTTTTGCGTATGCAAACTTTTTATCGGAGGAAGCAAGAATAACAGTAGACTGGACTATACGCATATAGAACACGAGATAAACACGTTTTTATTTGTTCAGTGTAGTAAAAACATGTGCTGAGAGAAGAAAAAAAGAAGAAAAAAAAGATATCTTTTTGTTGTTGTATTATTTTCTGTTTGTTTGTTTCTTTCTCACGGCCAAATATCACTAGTGTCTAATCAAATCCTTGCTTTGAAAGAAATTTAAGAATTTTTTCAGCGCCTATCTATGTCCATGGACAAATTTATAAAAACTGTTCATGTCTGTGGACGTCCATGAACATGTCCATCTAATGCTGGGCTCTATATAACATACACACATTGTACTTAGGGCTTTTTCTGTTTGTTTTAAAATGGTTAGATTCGTCAGATGCGTAGCTCCAAAGTTACGAAGAGCTTTTTCAAAAATTCCTTTTCCTCGCTGAGAAAAATCGATTTTACTGAGGACACCTCCAAATGGGCCAGGTGATTTTTAGTTAT